GAAAATGAAAATGAAAATTGTTGAAGCATTTACTAGATGCTATTGAAAAATGTGAGCTTTTTTAATCATTTGATGAGAATTTGTAATGAATTTGTCTCATGATTGAAGATCAATTTTTCATGGCAAATGTTTTGCAAACATATTTCAAACTTTTTAGGATTATTTCACACGGCCTTCCCCTCATGATTGAAGATCAATGTTTTGCAAATGTTTTAAGGATGGGGATTCTTACTCCCATTATTTCTTTTGTGAATGAGGAAGCTGATTACCGTCACAGATTCATTCCCCATCTGGTAATGACAGAGAAGGTGCAAGATTGGCTAGGGTGTCTGCATTTGTGCTCTACTTAGCGAAAACCAATTTTGTCTAGTGCACTATAATTTTCATTTAGTACCAAACAAACTGAACTAAATGAGAATGGCAGCTGTACGCTTGGAATTCTGATGTGGTGTACGATTGTCTTGATGGAACACTCAGAGGAGAACCATGTCAATTAATAAAAGTCATGTTGAATTTTAGACGTTTTAAATTTGAATTTTAACAATTTTTTGAAATCAGACAATGAAAAATTTATTCTTAATAAATATTTGGTTTCAGTGTGAAAGATTTGCCAGAGAAAGAATTAGTTGAAATAGACGTAAACTAACCCAAACATTTATTGTATTTCTGTGTGTGTTGAGAGAGAGAGTGGGGGGTAGCATATAAATTAATTAAGGTGTGTTCATTGAAATTCGAATAACTAGGCACCAATCATTCCATATTATTTTGGTATTTAGACAGTAGTGACCCAAGCTTATCTTCTTATCAACAAAACCTAACCAGCTCTCGTCTAAAAGTCTCAAGGTTGGTCTTGCTGATGATGCATGAAATGCAATTTCAAAGGAGTGAGAGTCTGAGAGATTCTTGGACTGAGAGAAAGACAAGCAGAAGCATGTTATCTTCCTCCCAAAGATCTGAGTCCATTTGATAATTAAGATACATATTCGTAGTTGTTGGAGAGACTTCTTTTTGAAAAAAATGATAGTTTTCTCCTTGTTATTTCTATGCAAGTGCGGTTCCGGGCCTCTTTGTTCTCTTCTCTTCATTATTAAATTTGATTAGAATAGTATTAAAGTTGAAACCCAGGTCAATGAGTGGTTCCCCCTCTATAAAATATTCTAATTCTTGGGACGCATCACTTTCCTTCGTTTACGTAATTGTTCGGAGTGAAAAATCCTTACAAGATTAGAGAATTTTTTTTTGCTTAATTTTGTTGGAATCTAGATCGAGTGGGTGATTAGTTTGGCCCAAAGAGAAGTGAATTTTAATCTTTTAAGTTTTAGATTTGGACTCGACTAGGTACCGAAATTTATTATATTTGTAAGTATTTTTACTATTGCTGTGGTTATTCTTATCACTGTTATAGTACTTAAAAAAATGATAAAAATAGTTATTACAACAGTAATAAAAATACTCACAATAGTGGTAAAAAGATCAATAAAAGTGAGAAAAAATTTTATACCCAAGAAAAGTGGTAAAAATAATTATTACAACAGTGATAAAAATATTCACAGTAGTGATAGAAATACCCAAAAATGATATTTGATTATAAAATAACTCACAAAAATTATAAAAATATCTTTGAAATAATAAATTTTAAAGATATAATAACAATTTTTTTTGACGGTACCGTAATTAAATCCTTGAGATTCATGTGACAGATTAATAAATTGATTAGAATAAGATTAACTAGAATTGCGACATAATCCACAATGACACAGACTTTTATTGGTACGTACCCTAGTCCTAGATATTGACTTTTTACTATATAACCAAGCCAATTCATATATGTAGGGTTAGAAAAAGGACCTTGATAATATTAGAAAACAGGATGCTAATGGTGCCGTAATTAGCGACTTGATGATTTGATAAGAAAATTCAACACTTCTAATGTAATGAAGGGTAGCTCCATAATCGAATATTTTTAGGAGATTGCCGACAAAGCTATAGGATAGTGGCTTCGTTCTTGATTTTACCTGTAGCATTACTTTCTAATAAAGTAATGAAAGCAAAAAAGCTGTGGCTAATATGAGAGGAAATTTTTGTAGTACTTTATCCAGTTGTTTGTATTAAAATATACAGAAGGATGAGTGAACTAATCCCAGAGAGAGAGATGCACAAACCCTAGAAGAGACGTAGACTTTTTTGGTCCTCATAAGCATCACATCACTCATTTTTCCAACCTATAAAGTTCGGTCTTCTCTTCTACAATATCCCACCAATAATTAGAGACAGCTTCTATATGTGTTATTTGGCTGGAGAGAGAGATGGGTAGAGCTCCATGCTGTGACAAAACCAACGTAAAGAAGGGTCCATGGTCCCCTGAGGAACATGCAAAACTCAAGGCTTATATTGATACTTATGGCACTGGAGGAAACTGGATTGCTCTTCCCCAGAAAATTGGTATATACTCTCTCTCTCATGCTCCATGTGATTGTGTTTATCTTTTTCTGCTTGGGTTTTTGCATGCACCGAAATCGATTTGTTTGACACTTTGACTAATTGGTGAGANGTACAAGATCCAAAGATTGGATCCTTTGAAAATTCCACGGTTTCTATCAGAAATCAAGCAGGGTTTTCCTCAATAAGCAGTTTGAACGCAGATGAATTGGAGAATTCTATGACCTGTATTGCCTCTGCAGACAACCCAGTTACCTTCAACATTGGAAGCAACATAAGAAACTCAACTATCGTTCCGAGGTCGAATTTTATTGAACAATCAAGTCCTGTAATTCACCCAGTTTCAAAATTCAATCAAGCAGAACTTGATGACTTTATCAACAACAAAGCAGTGGGTTTTCAATCAACAGAGGGTCAGATGGGTGAATTTGATTGTTTCAAAGAGATGGATGGCTCAAAGGACAACCTGATCTGGTGGTTTAATGACTTCGACATAAATTCAACACCTTCAAACTCTTGGGATTCTACTTCTGTTCTTTATCAGTGTGAAGGAATGTATCAGCATTATGGCTTAGGATATAACATGCAGTGACAAACGATATAAGTGGTAGTAGCCGCTTTGATGATCATAAGAAGGTCACTATGTAGAACTTCGCAACTGGTTTTGTAAATTGTGTGAATAATGTCAAGTCCTCGTTATCTTGCCAAGTATATATTTGCCTGACTGTCATATCATATCTTCATATTTTTCACGTGGACTTGAAGTTACAAATCCAAATGCTATTTAAATCCTACTGCTGTTTAAATTGCTATTCAACACCACTGTATCAAATGAGGTACGGCATACAAAATTACAAGTAAATAAGTGTTGTAGTTAAGAAGCACGAGAATTGTGTAAAGACTTTTTGAGAAACTACACTTTCCCGAAAATTTGGGGTGAACAAGGAATGAGTGATTGGTTGATNGAAGCACGAGAATTGTGTAAAGACTTTTTGAGAAACTACACTTTCCCGAAAATTTGGGGTGAACAAGGAATGAGTGATTGGTTGATTATAAATGTAGCAGCTCCAGTATCAAAGAAGACAATTAAGCAGGGATGTAAGATATTATGCAAGCAGTGATGTAAGCTTAACTTACTAGCAATGTTATTGAGACCTAATTTATTGACTTAATTCACTATGACTTTTGAATTAATTGTAAGTTTTATCAAACATTGAAACTTAGTGTTGATTCAATGAAACTACATCATTCTATCAATAAATTAATTCAGATTTTTAAGTCCAAATAAAATTACTCTTTTAACTTTAAGGTGGATGGAATACATTTTGGAGTCCGGCCTCCCCTCTCTTGTGTATCTATAGTGGTTTGAGAGCCATAATGATCTATTATGTTTTCTACTTAATTCCTTTGTCTGTTTAATCATACAAATGTTGGTTGGGGAGGTTTCTTGCATCTTTATTGAGTACCAGTTATCACTAATCTTTAGCAAGCTCTGTTCATCGTCTTCTACGTATGCTCTATGGTTGCCACTTGATTGGATCTTCCACCTCAGAAATAGAAGATACTGATCTGAACCCTACGATTTGTGATTACAGTTCCGGTACTGATCAATTAATATTCTCTGGTTTGGATTAAAATAGAGGGTTCCCTGAGACTTTCTAGCCTGGATGAGGATTGTTGTTGTCTCGGATGTGCTGTTTTCCGAATTTATTATCTTTTTAGTTGATTATTGTTTTAAAAAAGAAGCATTCTTTCGCCCCGACCATTATGAGTATGAATAAACAAAGTCTCTTTTCTTTCTTATGGCTTTAAGTACATTGTTCTCTCGCTCTAATTCCTCAAATGTGGAAAATATGTATATAATTAAATTATATTAAATTATATAATATCTAACTTGTGCACTAATCTAAACAGAATATATAGAAATTAAAATCAGTGCAATTACATTGACGCATAACAACACGAATAATAAAATCCAAAAAATTAAAAATTTAATAATAAAAATAATAATTCGAGCCCTGTGTAATCACAATTTTCTTAAGACAGATTTGCTCTCTCTCGTGATTAAGATTGATAAGTAATTGTTTCTCAAGATAGAACGAATTTCGTTTTTGAAGATGCATCACTTCAATCTCAAAAACTCCAACGAACACAATTTTGTGTTTATATTTGAACCGATCTTGAAATAATAATGCAACTACATGTAGAGAGAGAGAGAGATAGAGAGAAGAATGACCGAATACTTAATTCAATATTTTAGATAATTGAGAGAATAATTATTGAATTGTTCAATGGTATGTTTTGAGAGTGTAAAGAATCACCTATTTATAGACTCATTAGTGACTTTTCATAAATTGTGTAACCATTTGTAATAATACCTTTTAATCCAAAGGGTATCAATGGTGACTTTATGGTACAATCATTTGAAATTGTGTCTTTTAGTTCAAGAGATATTAATAGTGATTTTATGAAAGTTGTGACTATTTGTAACGGTGTTTTTTTAACCAAAAGGTGTTAATGATAAATTTAGGAAATGATGTAACTATTTGGATTAGTGTTTTTAACTAAAAGTTACTAATTTTGAATTAATAACCTTTCATATCATATTCACTTCATACCTTTTCAATTGCTCACAAGAGTCACAAACACTTTAACAACATTTTCAATTGCTCCCAAAAATTATAAAGATTTTAACAATTTCTTATTTAATACTTAATGATTTTTTAAATAAATATACCATTATTTGCAACATATTCTTCCTTTTCTAAAATTGACTATTTTTATGAAATTTTTTATCTTCATGAAGACTCTAAAATTCCTCTTACCCACATTTCTTCTGTAAATCCTTATTTAGCTTTCACCAAACCTCCCAACTCTATCAAAACTTATGCTCATAAGTTGATTGGCACTTCTAGACCAACCAAAGTTAGGGAATATATTCAAGCTTCTCGTTCTGATTAGTACACTATTCCCTTCTCTTTTCTTGAGTAGTTTATTACTTTTTCATTTCCCGCTCATCTTCCATCTCAATGGCTACAGGAAGGTTTTACTTATCTTCATTGGGGAACTATTAGGCTTACCTTGACTTTTCATGGCAAAAAAGGGCTTCCTGTTGTTTCTCGTATAACTCTTCTTGATTCACGTTTCTTAGAGTATCAACATACTTGTATTGGCACTATGCAAACTGTGTTGAATGCAGGAATTGTGATAGTCACTTTATTCCCCAACTTTAACATGCATATCTGTGAAGGATAATGGTCAACATTCAAAAGTTCAAATATCTGAACCATCAATCTGATCATATCATGTTGGATTGATAAGGCTCAATCCAATTTACTTTTATCTTCTTGTAACAAACTCTTCTTTAAATTGTAACTCTGCATAGCAATATAGAACGAAGAATTTCACAGCAAAGCCTTGGCTTCTACATGGTATTAGAGCAAAACATCTGAAATTGAAAAATGAGTACATCTTTAGTAACTTCAAACCAAATTTCGTCACCACCTAGAACTCTTTCCCTCTTCATCTACGCACACACATACCTTCACAACAAAACTTAGTTCAGATAATTATCACCTCTGTTATTCACAAATTATTTTGCAACTAGTTTTGTACTTGTCAATGGATCCATCGAATTTTGTCTTCTTTTTAAAGATTCATTTACAACCTAAAGGTTTGTTACCTGGTGGAAGATCCACCAACTCTCATGTATGATTTCTCATAATAGATTCGATTTCATAATCAATAGCTTCCTTACAATAAGCAGCTTCGTGGGAGGACATAACTTATTATTTTCTAATAAATAAGCTAGAAAATTAGGACCAAATGACTTCGACGTCTTTGTCCTCTTGCTATGTCTAGGTTCATCTTCCATGAACTCCTTGTTTTGATCATTATTAGTTATGGCTTCGATTGGTCTCTTTAATAAGCTTAATTCATGTGACACATTAAATGAAAAATTATTTTCAAAGAATGACGCATTCCTTGATTCTATAATTGTATTAATATGCACATCAAGAATCTTAGATTTGTGAATATAATTAGCAGATAGTAAAGCTTCCCCCTACAAGTTTTGGGGTGTTCCAGATCTTGACAACATAACATTCATCATTTTTTTCAATGTTCGATTTTTGAGTTTAGCTATGCCATTTGATTGAGGTGAATAGGGAGCAGTCGTGTGGTGAATGATTTCATGTGTTGCACAAAACTCCTCGAAAGGAGATTCATAGTTACCACACCTATCACTTCTTAGTGCCTTTATCTTTTTACTATGTTGATTCTCAACTTTATTCTTATAATGCTTTAAACATATTAATAGCCTCATCTTTATTTCTAATTAAGTAAACATAATAGTATCTAGTGCAATCATCAATAAAAATAATAAAATATTTTTTATCACCTCTTGTTTGCACAAACTTTAAGTCACAAACATTAATGTGAATTAATTCAAGAGGTTCAGTACTTCTTTCAATTGACTTAAAAGATATTCTTGTCAACTTTGATTCTACACAAGTCTCACATTTATGATTTGGATCAATAGACATCTTAGGCAAATCATTCAAATTAGCTAATCTTCTAATTGCATGAAAATTAACATGTATTAATCTAGCATGCCGCATATTAGAAGACTCAAGCAAGTAAGAAGAATTCATCTTATTCTTATTATTAGAAGATGTGGGTACAACATTCATTATATTGAGCTTAAAACACCTATCAGCCATATATCCCTTCCCTACAAATATCTCATTCTTAGTGAGTACAAATTTATCAAATTCAAATACTAACTTAAAGACATTATTACTAAGTAACGAACCGGACACTAGATTCTTGCGAATATCTGGGACATGAAGCACTTCGTTCAAGGTGAGTTCCTTACCGGATTTCATCCTGAGTATCACCTTGCCATTTTCTTCAACCTTGGAGGTAGAGGAATTCCCCATATAGAGTTGTTCATCATTTTTTAGCTTTTTATAAGTAGTGAACATCCATTTGTTAGAGCAGATGTGTCAAGTAGCACCGGTGTCAACCCACCACTCTTTGGGATTACCCACTAAATTGCATTCTGAAACAACTGTAGAGAGATTCATGTCATTAATTTCCATAGAAAGCTTTTCTGTTTCAGTCATGTTTGCTTGAGCATTAGGCTTCTTGAGATTCTTTGGCCTACCACAATCTTTTGAGATATGCCCCGGTTTGCCATAGTTGTAGCACTTGCCCTTGAATTTCGTCGATCCTTGATTTGGACCTTTGCCAATATGCTTCCTTCTCTTGTTAGTCTTAGTTTCACTTTCAACTATGTTGGCCTTAGATTCTATGGAATTAAAAACTCCACTTTTCTTCTCAGATTTATGGTTATCCTCTTCGACCCTCAAGCGAATAATCAACTCTTCAAGTTTCATTTCTTTGCGCTTATACTTGAGATAGTTCTTGAAATCTTTCCATATGAGTGATAATTTCTCCACAATTGCAGCCACTTGGAATGACTCACTAAGAGACATACACTTGGTATGGATGTCATGAAGGATTACTTGAATTTCTTGAACTTGTGAGATAACAAGTCTTATAATCCACCATTTTGAAATCCAAACATTT